AGCCCTGTTGGAGAGAAACAATCTCATAGCACGTGTTCTTTGAAGGGCTTTACTCAGCTTAGTTGCCCCATTGCATTAACAGTTGTTCACGTATACTAAGGTGAAGATTTGCTCCACTGTTATAGAATAGCTAAAAGCAAATTTGGCTTAATTATTATATTTAACTATAAATTGCCTGCTATGGGAGTTGGCAATAATTTTGGTACAAGATCAAGTAACATAGGTTCAAGTATTGTTGTATGAAAATAGACAAATCTTCAGCTGACATTGATGAGTGTAACTCCCTGGAAGCCAGCAAGAGTTGTGCTGTTTTACAAGTGAGGATGTGGTTCACCATGGGACAGTCAGCTTCTTCCCACACCGCCAGGTCCACGTCTCTGCAGTGAATTGCATTGCGGGCTGTTGGCTGGTACTGAACAAGTAAGGGCAGAAGGAGAAAAGAATGTAAGTTGTCCATTTTCGCAAGGAACCCACTTAATGTTCATGGAATACTTTGCTGCAACGATTTGATGTATTCCTCCCAGACATCTTAGATAGGTTACAATTCTTTTTCAGGCTTTGGGGCAGAGTAATCTTCTCCATTTACCCGCTGGCTCTTGAACAGCCAGGCCTCATGCACATCTAGTCAGCACAGTTAATTTAAATTTGTGGTAATCTCCTTTCTGCATCACTTTTCATAAAAGGCATGTGTATCCTTGGCAAACACGTTAACAAGTGTACTTGTAAGTAAAGTTTAACTTTAGTTTTAGAGGTTACTGATAACCTCACGTTCAAGTAAAAGGGTAAATCTTGATAAGCAGACATTAATAATCTCTGATAAAGATCATACCATTTCTAAATTGACTCAAATGCCTAAAGCACTTGTTATTAAATTATTATTTTATTATTATTACTAAAAAGAAATACAGATTTTGTTTCTGATTCTCTGGTATTTATTACCACTACCTCTGGATAGCTGTATATTATTTTAAACCCTAATACTGCTCTGGCGTTTTCTTTTTTTTTCCTTAGATGAACACAGGAATCTCTAACGTGGGATCTGAGCTGCTGCTGAGGCAGTACTCAGCATTTCATGCTCAGCTGCCGGAGGAAGAAGACTGCTGCACACCATGGGAACAGTGAGGAAGCAGCAGGTCTCTACTACTTCTGCATGCTGCCTCAGATCCACTGGAGCATCTTCCTTCCTCAGAGCAGTTTTGTATCCAAGGGAGATGTACAAACTTTGGAGTCACTGCCAAGAACCGAGACTAGAAAATAGATTGCAAATCCCAGAGTAGCAGGATTTGATCTAAAATGAAGAAACATAACTGGCATACTTGGCCTCTGTCATTACTTTTCTTACTATAGTATCTCTGACTTCCTAGGTTATATAACTACTTTGAAGAGCAAAAGGCAGAGATGTCCGTGTTGGTCATCAAAGTATCTTAAACCTTGGAAACCACTTATAATTCATTCTGACTTGCTTGAGACACATATAGAAGGCAAGTGTCCATTAGAAAAATTAGAATTTACATTTTTAAAGTTACCCAGATGACATGCTATTTGTAGTGATACTTATTTTTAGATTATTTCAAATTACCTTAGAAACTGATAGGTTGGTGCAGTCTTCCATTTTATACAAAGACTAACAGACAAAGACAAAAGGTTAGTAACGATTGCTATTTATTTTGTTAAGTCAATAAAAAGTGCATAGTACAAGCCCTTTATCCCAATCCAAGTACTCAGTAAAAGATTACTAGGAAACTGCAAATGGCACAGATGATTTTTCATTTGGCATAATTCAGACATTTTAAACCACCAATTTACATTAGGTACATCACATCACTCTTCCCTTTTCAATCGTGAACACTACAAGGCTAAGTGATCTGCAGACAATACATGAATACATATGATTTCTCATTTGAGTATAATAATTGTGTTAAGCAGACTCTAAAAATACTATTGTTTTAACAAAGTTCTAAGCTAAGGTATAATTGTAAACTTCCCTCCATGTTTCTCAAGTTGCTAAAAACTGCATCTCTTACTGACTGATCTTAAAACCCTCATTACAGAATTAATCATATCCTGAAGCATCACATACCACTAATCTGTCCCACATGTCTTCTCAAAATTTACCATAAACATCTGTAACCATGATACAATTATTTCATTGCAAACTGTATCACTAACGGCCAGATTTCTGCCACCCTTACTAAAGCTGCTACTAGTACATTATCTCAGAGTAGTCCCACAAACTTCAGTGCAACTACTTGATGAGTAAGGCACTATTTAACATGAATAAGAGTGGCAAAATACAGTCTTGTAATTACTTACTTTTTTTTAAAATTAAGAGTGGTGATCTGAAGATTATATCTTGGAGAGGGTATCTGAATTTAAAAGGCATACATTTTGACATGGGATAGTGGCCTGGCTCTTTAGTAAAACATTTTACAATAAAGTATTTCCAATTTTTCTTTTACATAGAAAATTTAAAATAGCAATTTACATGAGGAAAGCATACAGGTATAAAATCACTGGGACAATTACTTAGAGGAACTTCAAGCAAACACAGTTCATTTCAATGTAAAACACAACATTACTCTGAACAAAAAGATCATTTGCCAAGACTGTTAGAGCTGAGTGCATATGGTGAGTTTTATAAGTACACACACAGACATTTAAGTAAAGCGAGGCTGATCCTCACAAGTGAGGAGTATCTGCTGTAAATCTCACCATTTTGCACTAGAATACATTAGGATGAGGAGTGGTGCTCTGTCTGAAATTAAGCCTGTTTCAGTCGGCTTTTTGATCAATTGGAAGCCTGTTTTATGCATCCAATAATGAAAAACTCTGGCCAAAAATCCTCAGAGAAAAAGTCAGTGTAGGAGAGTATATGTATTTCAAAATGATGCTGTATTACTTGCTCTATTCAAAACAGTATCCCAAATACAAATGTACACGGAAGGCAAAAAGCAAGCACAGTCGGATTGCTTGTCCCAGTGACATCTCTACACAGTATTTGTGGCCTGCACAGCATTAGACGTAACGGGTCAAATTCTCTCAGCTTCTCTGCTGCAGCTCCATTGCTTTACATGGCCCTGCACTGATGTCACTGAGAGCACCTGGCCCAATCTTCTTCATTTTTTAAAAAAAATTTTTTACACATGCTCCTATGCTTGGGAGCACACTATTCCACAGAAATTCCAAGGGCAATTACATCAAATCACAGAAGCCTTTCTTCAGGTCTATGCTGTACTTTACAAGGAGGCTTAGCTGGCCCGCCATTTACCCTGAGGAGGAAAACCCTGCATTTGTCAACCATGGGATCTGATGTGAGATTTTTGTTAAAGCCCCTTAATACAAACCTTTATGCATCTTAGCAGTTAGTCCCTTCAGCTCCATAACCAAAAGTCCTCATAAAATAATGGTTTGTAGAGTAAGGCTTTGAATTCCCATATATCTGTTCTACTGACCTTTACAGAAAGAAGCTTCGTGTTGGTAACATAAAAATGTTCTTTACATCATTCTCATCAATTTTTCAAATTGATCAAGAAAAATATACAGTGTCACTTCTCTGTACATCTTTAAAATGTTCTTAAATTAATGTACATAAAAAAGTAATTCCCATTTGCTACAATGGGAGATGTGCACAGGTATGTGCACAGCCACACATATGCACACGTAAACACACCACACATACACACAAATATCAGAGGGAAAAGACCTGCCATATGTAGTCACCTGCAAGTTTGTTATTCTGCAATTACAACAGTAGATAAGGATGAAATAAGGAAGAAATATTTTACGCTTAGGGTGGTGAAATACTGGAACAGGTTGCCCAGGGCGGTGGTAGATGCCCCATCCCAGGAAACATTCAAGGTCAGGTTGGATGGGGGTCTGGGCAACCTGATCTAGTGGAAGATGTCCCTGCTTACTGCAGGGGGGTTGGACTAGATGACCTCCATGGTCCCTTCCAACCCAAACTATTCTATGATTCTATGAAATGTTAAGAATTGCTGATAATATACAGGTGAAAAAGCCTGAATATCCAGTATAAGTTGTGTACCAAACGTTGGTAACCGCAATAACCTCTTGGTATAATTTCATCCTGTCCAATATATATTACGTCATGGCTAAAAACTTGTTAAGATACTGATTTATTAAAAGACTATACCAGGACAGAAAACTCTACCAAGTTCTCCTCACTAAATTTGTCTTTCATAAAGTCTACAAGTAAACAAATCAGGTTTTGGAATACATATTTTTGGACAACATAGTGAATAAGATATATTATTTATTAACGAATAAGATTAAATTAACTTATTTTTTGGTGGTACACACTTTTGTGTAAAGTTCCAATACATATGTCAAAGCTTTGACAGTGACAATGATCACATTCACTTCTTTGCGCGCACACATACACACACACAGAGCATAATTCTAGTGGACAATTCGTGTTTTTGCCAACAACCCTGAAATCTATGTTAGTGGTCCAAAGACCAGACTAAAAGCTGCTCTGAGCCCAGGGCAAACATAAAATAATTTCAATTTTTCACCACATAACTAAGCTAATAGTTGCAACCATAATATAACTCTCAAAAGCATACTGGAGAAAAAATATGGATTAATTTGAAGAAAGGTCAGTAACCTTCCATTATTATAGATGCACAGGGATTTTATTTTCCTTTCAATGCATATCAGAAATCACTGCAAAGAATTTAAGATCCTTGTAACAGAAAGAGACTGAGTGGAATGTCCACAGTAACGGTAACAACCAAAAAACCCCTGCAATGCCTTATCATTATTCAAATTACAATTGAATTGTAATAACATACAAAGCAAAAATTAACTTAAAATCGAAGTCGTTAAAAGCAGCTCATGAAGATAACTGCTGAATGATAATTCTGCTCTATAAATGAGAAAGGAAAACAGTATTGAATGGGGTTTACGAGTAATCTGGTCACTTCGTTCATTTGGTCGTGCAAGGTTTTAGCCGTTGAACTTTTCCAATACTGAACACTCTAGTCCACTGGTGGGGCTGGTGGTTCTTGTCCCTAGGGGGAAGGAAGGAGGAAAAGAAAGAAAAAAAAAAACACGTACAGGATTAGAAACAGTGCTTTACACAGGAGGATTTATCAATAAAAGAAGAACGCAAAAGAGCTACGTTGTGCTTTCTTTTAAGGTCCTTCAGTATCTCTTTCAATATTCACAGTAAATGAGCATCAAAGATCAATACTGTCTCCTGCATTGATAGGGATTTTTCCATGACCCCCTATCTAGGACAAAGATCACCTTCCTAGCTTCATGCTGCAATTTTGGTTACTGACTTCTCTTACAGCTGTGATTTTCTCCTTGTACGTAAGAAGGCAGGAGGCAGCTGCAACCAGGGACTGCCAGTGTCCAGAGGACATGACCCACATTTGGTCACCTGTGCCTTCTCCATCCATGGCAGACCTCACAGCTACTCTTTGTCATTCTACTCTGACTTTGGTTTTATTAATTTTAATTGTTAATGGAATTCCAAGAAAATACAAGGAAAAAAAATGTCAGGAAAAAATGACTGTAAGATAGTCTGTATTAAAATGAAGTGCATTTAAGCTATTGTAGAGTCTCTCTGTGGGGCACTTGAAGATGCACTTACATTATGTTGGCTGGTTGGCTTTCCAGCTGTGTTGGATCCTCTCAGATTTCTAGGTCTTAGTAAGAACAAGACAAGTGCAATCACCACCCAGGCCATCATTATCATGGCAAAGCTGATTCCATTGTCACTGGAGGAGTTTGGTCCTGGCACTACAGACAAGGAAAACTCAAGTTATAATACAGAGTGACAGCAGAGTTCTTTCCCCAGAATGAAAACAAAAATGCAACATAAGCACCAGAAAAAACCTGAAATATTTTTCAGTTGAGTTTTCTGATTAGTCCTTCCTTTGGGCTTTGAGACAAGTAATTCTTGGTTACTGTTACACTGGTTTTTTTATCATGTTTCTTATCCCTTTGAAAAGAAAATCTATTTCATAAAATTTCATTGGAATTCTCAGAATTACCATGAATATTTCTTAGTTCGTATTAACTCCTAATGAACTGGAGATGGTAAACACACACTTTGTATTTAAGAAATCAAACTGGATGCAAAATATATTTAAGTGGGAAAAACACCCATCTGTATGTTGGTGTTTGTTTTTTGCCTCAAACAAGTAAAATAATAAGACTAAAGAGATGAAAGCTTAAACTCTGCTGTATAAACCCCACACAGAGAACATGCTAATTCTAGCAAGAAGGTAGCAAACTAATGGTTGTAATTTTGTTGGCTACTCTAAGTTATTTATTGAGAGTTTGTTTGAACAAGTGTCAGTGTCAACATGCCAGATCTCCATGACTGATCATCCAGGTCATGTGGTATTCCTGATAGTATCAAGGAAAATGTATCCGTCAGGTTGGAAAAAAATGCTAAGAGCATACATGAAAAAGTGAAGCCCAGGAATACAATATAAAAAATTTACACCTAATTTCTGTATAGAATGGCTGATACATCACAACATGGAAATAAAATGTAGAACATCCCCTCAGATTGGAGATGGCTGGTTAGTCTTTTTGGATCAATAAACTCTTGCAAATACCTGCACATTTAAAACTGCATTAGATCTGTCTGAGCTGGAGTCAGCATCCCCACAGCACCCTCCCAGTGCTGAGTGTCCCCCTGGCAGCCAGCAGGGGGTGTGTCACACACCTTGGGGGGGGGCGGAGCCGGGAGAGCTGCCCCGGATGGGCTGTTCCAGACCATGTGACCTCAGCTCAGCCAGAACAGCCAAGGGCAGGGAGGAGGAGGGGGCATTGGTTACTGTGTTTGTCTCCAGGAGCAGCTGCTGCACACACTGAAGCTCTGCTTTCCTGGGAAGTGGCTGGACACCACTTGCTGATAGGAAGTAGAGAATAACATCTTTGTTTTCCTTTTGTTTCTGTTCACAGTCTTGGCCTTTGCTTTAATTAAACTGCTTTTATCTTGACCCATGAGTTTTCCATCTTATTCTCCCCCTTTATTTTGCTGAAGGGGGAGTGATAGAGGGGCCTGGTGGGCACCTGGCATCCAGCCAACGTTAACCCACCACAAAAACCAATAACTTTTCTCCTCTGAAACATAATTTCAACTAATCAAACTGTAAGTAATGTTGTCAGCTGAAGTGTAAACCAATGCATAGTTAATTATCTATGGTACTTACATGGCTCCACTTATAGTAGTATCTAAAGACCTAATATCTTTATTAATGATCTAGATGATAAATTAATACAGAGAAATTAATATGAAGCTATAACGAATAACCTTCATAAAGAGAAGAGCTGTTCTATTTTATTACTCAAGTTGAAAACTTTAACATCTAGGGAAATTCCAGAGAGACACTCGTGTCTGTCAGATTTTTCAGTTGTCTCAATTTATTTGGATAATCTCATTATGTAGTCAAGTGTGGATATTTGCTAGATAACTTATGCCCAGTGAACTCCTGGAGTAATTTCTTTGAAGGTTAATGCTGATACCAAAGAACTGCCCTCATCACTGTCACATTGGGTAGCATTTTTAACAGAGGCTTGTCTATGAAAGTGGTTTATTCATAGAACAGCTAAGACAACAGCAGAGGGGCACTGTGGGGAAGCTTACAGCTATGCCATTCACAACACTGCTGTTCTCTGAATAAGACTTCATGAGTCAGGGCCATTGGACTAACATCCTTTACAGACACTACATGCACTCAAAAATGTCAAAGAAGGAAAAAACATGTATCATAGCATCTCACAGCACAAACACCACCATTAACACTTAAGAGCAAACAAAACTGTCATCACTTTTGCCTTTTAAATGTTCAAAATACATTTAAAAACTCGAGGAGTTGCTAATGGAGAGGAATTTTATGATTAGTAGTATATACAATTACAAGTGACAATTCTTTTGGAGATTTGAGTGAATAAATAGTGCTGTATATGAGGAAAAGGTACAGGGCAAAGAAAATAAATGAGAATGCTACAGCTTTTAATTCATTAAACTCTAACACACAGTTGATTTAGAAAACATGGTATTGTGGAGGTAAGAGTTTAGACTTGCAATTGTGTTAAGGGAATATATTCTTGTTATCAATATCCTACATAAATATTTTACATCTTAGATGACCTTTATATATGCAATCCAGGAAACTAGCATATAATTTGGCAGGAACAGAACAACTGCATTATTTTGGGGCTTCCAGACAACATTAATAGCCACCCTGAGACTACCTTCTGCAGCACGTAAGACAGCCTTAGGTACCTGCTTTGGCACATATCTTCAGTAGAACACTGAAAATTCCGATCACCTGTTACACTGGATTCCCCATACAATGCAGAGAAATAGGCACTAGTCAGGCTGCCTTCTGGAATTTTTGCTGAATCATAGTGCACTTAGGTGCACTATGGTTAAACAAGAACTGGGGTTAAGTAAATGCTGCTACGTCAGCTCATGCTACAGGTCAAGGAAGGGAGCAGAAGGAATCACAGAGGGAAACCACAGGCGTTCGTGCAAGACACAATTTCTTCCAGCCTCTGCTGTAACAGAGTTTAGATGGAACCAAACGCGCTGAAACATGTTCTAAAGTAAGTTAAGCATGACAACAGCTGATCTAACACAGCTTGGCCCTGTACTACCTACTCAAAGCATGCCAGATACTAAAACAGCACTGTTTACACTATTCAACCCACATCTCTCACGAATGACCATGTGTTTTAATAAGGATGTGAGATATTTCAGAATCTGTTACTTTTATCTCTTACCATAAGGAGATGAGGATAAGCAAAATCTCACGTAGCTGGGGTGAATCACACTTTTCAAAGCTTTGCATCACAAATCAGGAGAACAGACAAGAAGCTGTTTCAGCTACTGGGAGCAATAATATGTAGAAGACAACAACCTTTTGCTACAAAGTCTTCTATCACTGAGATCACAAAATAATCAGGTAAGACCAGCTTATGGATAAAGAACAGTTGAGTGAAGCTGAAACCAAGCAGTACGGAATTTATGCTGATGGCCAGAACAAAAAAATCTTATTTGTAAGAGTTCACAGCCACAGTGCTTTTACCTATAATTGATATTTTTGCAGGTAATTTAGAAGTGTTTTTTTGATTCCTTGAAGAATAAAGGTTACCCTATAAGTGCACCTGTGGATGATACTTTGTAACATTTCCAGATGGACAGAAGATTGTCCTGTTTTGACCTCACAGATGAATATCCCTGCCACCACCCATTTTGATGGATGGACCTGCCTGGGAGACACCAACCAGTACAGAATGTAGCAGTACACATTCCTGTGTCAGTGAGTGAAATGAAACCTACAGTCTCTAACCTGCCTTTCCACACAACACTGAATCTAGCTCAAGGTCTTTATCTTCAGAGCATCTGGTCCCTGGTCCCCTGGGCTCAGCATACCTATATATCCATGCGGTTCCGAATGAAGCCTGTCAGCACTTCTGCCCCTCTAGGTTACCCGGAATTTTTTTTACAGAATTATCTCTGTGCAGGAGAAAGCTTTATGACGGGCTGGTCTGAGGCTGTGGGATGAAATCCCATGGGAGCTAATGACTGCAATGAATCCTATCTGTTGCTCCACAAGTGAGATACAGTTCTTTGGCTTGCTTTCTCATATAGAAACAGAGACTAGGCCAAATAAACTAGTCTTCTCTCAGAGAGAAATGGGAAGGGAAAAAAACCACAAACCTTCTGTGACAGATGTTTGCCACATAGATGGCAGTCACAGGTACTAAAATGATGAGTTTGGTAAAAATAATATCTAAAGATTAAGTTCAACCACTTCCTGATTGTGCAACTGAAATCTCAAGAATACAATATTAAAAGTAATAAATACCCTTGTTAAATACTCCTTACATGAACTTAGTTCTCCTCTTAGAAGTGCTATTCTTCATTCAGAGTGAGGCTGTACTCTAAGGAAAAAGAGGAAAGACTGCATTTCTTTTACTGTAAAAAGTATATTCCACATGGGGCTTTTTGTCTGCCCTCTCATAGTAGAAATAACTCCTTCTGGATTTTCAGTTTTTTACTGTTTAACATCTTCATGTGGGAAGGCAAAAGCATGCTCTCTGACTTGTGGCCTCTTCTTTTCATGGTGTTTTATGCCTTGCCTGTTCTGTAAAAGAAAGGTAGGAAACCGTATGAAGAGAGGTACCTTACAGATGAACCATCAGGGAACACAAAGATCCTGTGAGACCTTCATCAGATAATCCCTGCAAGCTGACACTCTCAAAGGCAAGGGATAAGGAAACTGAAGAAAGCCAAAAAGGACTTGAGCGGAGGAAGGGAGAAGGGAATTACCGAAAAAGGGAGGGAAGAATTGGCAGACATTTCATGCAGTTAGGTTAGGCTGCTGTGACTCCCTTAGACCTTAGTCAAGATGAATCACAGATATGCATTAATTTTAAAATACATAAAAATTTGTCAGTAGGGTAGACAACATTTGAGACAGTCATCTCTGACCATATTACAAGCCAGGAGACCACTGAGAATAGTGTTGAAAATACAAATATGGTAAATCCAGGTCACAACATCTGGGAATTGTTAGAACACTGAGAAAAAACTCAGGCGGTGGCCCCTCATTTCCTTTGACATGGAAGGCTGACTATGAAGGGCCATGAGCCATCAGAGCAGCTCAGTACCAGCTGTGATCCACCCTGGGCTGGATGAACTGCTGATGTTGCAACTGGAGCACACTTCAGAGAAATCTTCCCGTGCTCCACTTGCATTAGACAGAATTCAGAAAAGAATTATCACTCTTATTCCTCATTTCAAGGGAAAGTGTAAGATCTTCTGATTTACTGAGCATAAACAATCCCAACAGAATATTAAGTGGGTTGCATACTCAAAACTTGCAGCCTTTTTTCACCAAGGCACCCACTGAAGTGGAGGGAACAGTCATCATACTCTGATACAGGCCTTATCGTCATAGCAGATACTCAGAATCAGCAGAGGAACAGGAGAGTGCCCAAATGCTCTCTGAACTGGTGCTCATATCCTCCTTGATGTTGGAGCACAAATCCAAAACCACTGGTCCTGACCCTGGCAGGAAACTCTCTGCAGGGCAGTCACTACAATATAATGGTGCCAACAACCATAAACAGAACTTTAAAGCTAATTACAGAAAAACGTGAATGAGGAAGCCTTGGTGCTACTGCTTTGATCTGGCTCCAAAAATCTAAAAAATATCTGAAATCAAGATATAAGTTGAAAAAAACCAAAATGTGCTCAGGAAGAAACAACGCAGGGTGTTTCTGAAGAACTTCCAGCTGGTAGCAACAGCGTAACACATGATGCTGCTGTGACACTGGCTGAACCACAGCCCTGACGTTTCCCAAAACAAAACCACATACATCTCATCAGTTATTGCACAACCTTACAACTTAAGAATCTGTGTATGACAACATTCCCAGCTGCTCTTCCAGAAGGGAGACCAAATCCTGGGAATGAGCAAACGGGTGGGAGTGAAACAAGCTTCTTCATATTGAGGTCCTGAAATGAGGAATCAAAGTCAGCAACTAACAGGAAATGGTGCTGTGGGACCTGGGTAAGACAAGACCCACCTCAAAATAAGGTCATCCCGGTACAGCTCATCAGAACAGGATGAAGCAATGGACAGGAAACTGGCCCAGAATTGTTTTAATCTGTCTCTGAAAACATCTCTAGAAGCTTCCCCAGGCTCAAACTGTTTGGTTTTGCCTTTGACTCCTGGGAGCCTTACAGAGCTCATGTTGGCTCAAGCACAGAATCACAGAAGCATCACAAAATAATCTGACAAATAGGCAGTCAGTGTCATTGCATCAGCAGAAAAATACCTTTGCTGGAGCTAAATTTAAGGCAATATAATAACGTAGGAAAGGATTTACTCTATAATTTTTGCTTTGGTTTTTGAAACAAACCACTGGTTTGGAACAATTACTGCCAAATTGCTTGCATCTGCACAGACAGTTATTGCAAAGATCTCTTTCAGGATGGAAAGCTATTTGCTGCAAACCGTTCACAGCCCCACTGTACTATAGCTTGGTACTTGAAAGCTATCCCACAAGCTTTGTGCACACACATAACAGGACTTACTCATTTATACAGTCTTTAGCCTAAGAGCTTCATAAATAGTGATGAGCCAAGACTCCCAAGGCCTGCATGAGAATGACCTACTATCATTTGGTTTTGACTGCGGACTAAAGCTCAGAAAGCTGCACAGCCTGTCTGTGCCTACTTCTAGAGAATATTCTGTTTCCTCTCACCTGTCTCCTTCCCTCCCCTACATGCTTGTGATTTAAAAAAAACCAAACAAACCACACACAGAAGCCTAAGGTGTGGGAGACTAAAAAGTCTGCCCTAGGACATGTACATTTGAGAAAGGAGGGGTGCTGGAAGTCACAGACACACAGTGTAACCTGGAGAGCCCATAAAGAGCGAGCAAAACCAGCAGCACTGTTATGGCACATGTGCACCTCACTCTTTTTTTTTTTTTCAGGGGTTATGTGGGAAAGCTCATAGCTTTTCCCTTTCAGCCCAACATGGCAATGAATTTGTGACTGTTTCACACTGGGAGAGCACAGTGCAAGTCCAAGCTAAATGCACATCTCTAAACAAGTTTTACTGGGGAGTGAAGGGGGAGAAACATGAGAGTGAACAAAGGCATGCTCTCTCCCCAGGATCCTGGAAACCATGACTGCACTGCTCCTAGACCTGTAGAAGACACAAGCACCAGCAGCTCTTGCTCCCAGGAACACTGCTCAGGTGCTCCCTGCTCCCTCCAAGCAGCACAGTAGTCCTGATGCAGGCTAATTGAGTGAGTTCATACGCTCAGTTGGTATAGCAATATAGGAAAAACAGATCCACTTCATTTTTATTTATAAGCATTTGCAAAGTTCCCTCTAGATCATGAAGAACGTAAACAGAGAGCTTCAGGGCAAACTTACACACTGTATAACCTCTGCACAGCTATGCTTTCCTGCAAATGCTGTTAACGTTTGACAGTCCTAGTAACCCTCACCATTTGGGAGAGGTTTTTTGATGTATTTCACCGCAAACTTCAAAGAAATGTACACATCAGTCCCCTGCTTCATTAACTACACAGCCACCAAGTCAACAGAAATGCAGTCGAGGTGTATGTCAGGACTAGGGGAAATGGATACAAGTTGAAGGAGGGAAGATTTAGGTTGGATGTTAGGGGGAAGTTCTTTACTAGGAGAGTGGTTAGGCCCTGGAACAGGCTGCCCAGGGAGGTTGTGGATGCCCCGTCCTTGGAGGTGTTCAAGGCCAGGTTGGACGGGGCCCTGGGCAACCTGATCTAGTAAATGTGTATGTTTGGTGGCCCTGCCAGGCAGGGGGGTTGGAACTACATGATCCTTGAGGTCCCTTCCAACCCGGGTGATTCTATGATTCTATGATTCTATGATCAGTCGTGCTGGTGCGGAATCTCCTCTCCCTCACAGTGGAGTAGAGGGTTCACAGTACTGACAGTAAGTCACTCAGCCCCAGCTTCAGGTCTGTGCAGAATATCCACTGGCTAGGCTGCTATGACTGTAATGAGGACAAATAAAGCCCCCTCCAAATTTTCTCCTTAGGGAAAAATTGAAATAATCCTATTTGGAGGCTAACGGTGAGATTCAGTAATGCTTGGGGCCTGATGAATAGTCACACTAGTATACTGATACCTCCAGACTGCTCACCATCACTGTTTCCATACAATGCTTCCAATGTACAAATGTTCATTTGCATCACAGATTCTCAGAGATTACCTCCCCTACATAACAATTTCAGTACTGTAGTGTTTGATTCAATGTAATATATTCCTATAACATTAAATCAACTGCTGCACTTTAAAGACCATTCAGACTATATTTTAATTAGTATTGCTTATTTTACTTCCATGCACCTGATCTTGATAGTTACTCACATTCCTGAAGGCATTCTGTGTCTGTGCAGTACGACTGGGATTGTCTCAGCTGAAACAGAGAAAAACAAAGGCATTACACTTAGCACTGAGACTTGGTCAGCTTTTACTGAAATCAAGATTTAGTATAATGTCAGAGCACAAGTTCAAGATAAGGAAGATTATAACTCATCCTTTACTGCGTTGCACTTGGCTTATTGTGTGTGAAGGATCCCAGGTATGGAGGTAGTTTCTGAACACTATTTACAAAGTACCTTTAAATCACCTGACTAAAGTGTTATTGCTTCCACACAGGTTGCAGCCACTGCATGCCTTTTAAAATTCAGGTTAAAAATCTTTAGTGATACAGACACTGCTACATGCAGATATACTCTCTACACACATTTTGGGATTTATAATGGATAGGTGTTACTATTATTATCTTGATAAAGTAACATGAAAATACGCTGTGATTACATAACAATAAATGATCAGACTGTGGTAATGGTTATGCACAGAGAAGCCAAATTAAAATTTCATATTTAAACTTAGAGATTACTATTTTTTCCTAAGATCTTTTTTAAAAACAGATTTTAATATATATTTTACTGTTTTTTCTCTTTACTGATCAGCAAAATTTAAAACACTTTTATTTTAGCAACTACAATGACTATTTGCATTTACAGACTAGGCAAGCTTGCTAACTGCAAGAAAAGTCAACATTGGCTAACCTGCAAATCAGTATAACTATTTCAGAGATGACAGAGTCAAAAAAGAAAGAAAAACATCACATTCTTTATCAGGCACAGAGAGGTTAATTGGATGTGATTTAATCTGCTTTATTAGGGAAATAGGTTCTATCCTCATCTTAGGTAAACTACACAGATTAATAATAAGTTTTAAAAAGTAAAGAATTGTTACAATGCCTTGGTTAGAATTGACATTTGCTTTTTGACAGGTTTTAAGCCACAGTAGCATCACAAATCCCAACACTTCTTGTCATAACAGGCTAAGCTGTTTATTATCAATGTAAATATACAAATGTATAAGAGAAGAAAAGAGGATGTTCCTTATGAAATAAATATGTCACTAATTTCTACAAACCCAATTTCTCCTTGTATTGGCACAACTGATTTGCTGTACGAAGTCATAATATTATGAAAAGCACATCAAGGAAACAGATAAGCAATCAAGGACAAAGGCATTTGGAAAAGTTTAAGCTCCATCCTTTATCATAATGATTTTCAATGACTGATGCATTTGAGAAATAAAAAAAATGCAATTGGAGATTGATCACATTCATTCTTTCATTAATATATTAAGATCTACTAGCAAATTTACTGAGACTACAAAGAAGTTCCTTAGGAAGTGGTGGGAAGGATGGATTTAACCTTTCAGCTATTTCTATAGTTAAAAACAAAAGCAGGGGAAAATCAACACAAAAACTTCTACTTACCTTATTAAAAAAAAAAAAATTTATCAAACTATGCATGTTTCCTGCCCCTCCTATATAAAAGTAAAAGCTCATTTTATTTTCAAACTTTGGAAGCCATTCTCAAAGGGGAGGTTTTACGTTAGCAATAGTACCAATTTGCAGTATCTGACACAGAGATTCCTGAGCTGGGAAAATTGCTATACCCACATTTTAAAGAGATCAGCAACATAATTATTTTCTGTTTGTATAAGGGTTTAATTCTGGAGGGGGCTTAATTTATAAACCCTATCTGTAAAACACAGTTTACAGGTATTCTTCGACACAGAATGATGTCCAAAATTAAAATGGGTAATAGGTATATGATCACAAACTCTGTACAGGTCAACAAGCATATAGCATCTAGTTATTCTTTGGTCTCCAGGATGGCTCGTACCCATACAGTGTATCTACTTTGCCCATAGATAGGTAACACTGCCTTGGGGCCTTGTAGCCGCAGTATTAGTTATCTCCCATTCTAAGTGTTACACTTCGTCCAAATACAACTTTTTTTTAAACCATGCAACTGATGTTTCTATAAAAGCCATGTCAAAAAATGGTGCATGTACTTTTTGTTGCTGTCAACATCCTGTTCCTTCACCTGTCTATCAGACAGGCTTCCACTGCTACCACACATGCACACACACACAAAAAAGAGCTCTAGCTTTGACTGACATGAAAAACATGTTCAGACTACAGCTATGCCATTCCTGAAGAGCAGTCTCAGGGGTGACCATGATGACACACCATGCTGTGTCATGTACTATCACCTTGACCATTCCTTCAAGAAAATCCTGCACAGTCTGGAAATGCCTTTATATGTAGGAAGCCACCTGATCAAAACACAATAACTATTAAATCCCAGAGATTTTGCATGCCCAGAGAGCACACTCAGATACTGAGTTTTACCCTATGGGCATCCTTGGTGACTTCTCAAGGACAGGACAGGCTCCGAGACCTTAGAATGAAAAGTGCTGCTGGAAACACCAATGATAGAAATATTACAGTAAGCAAGCAGTCTTAAGAAAAATGCCATTAGGAGTTCTCTACAGATCTCTGCTGAAAAAATGCTCTTATATTATATCCTGCCAATGCAGAAAATGGTCTGCTTATGTATGTAGGAAGAATGCAAAGAGGAACCTTTACAAAGCAGAGAGCCACCTGTACTTCACTGGATAATAGGGCTGTGCTTTCCAGAGGGCTTGGCAAAATATTCAATTTTTTTCGTGGGGATTTGAAACTAACTGTACAAAGTAGGTTTAGTAACCTCAGATTATGTTCTGAAACAGTTACAAGAGAGAAGTATGAAAAACTGCATTTTTTATAATTTGTATTAAATTCCTTTAAATTGAAAACAATACACAATCATATAATGATGCAGATTTAAAGAACCGACTTAATAAACCCCCTACACTTCATAGTCTCTGCTACATTCATACCCAGCAATACAAACATTTCTTAGAAATATTTCTCAACTATTCCAGGTAATACAAAAATTTCTTATAAAAACTACTTATGCTGGAGAAGATTTGGTCAGAATAGGACTACTCATAGACTCAAACAGGTTTTAGAAGACATAGATCACATGATAAAAACCACACCCCAATATCTTCTCATGCTCACTACCCCTCCTTACTACAAGCACATGCAAAACCTCAGTAATCCAATGGTAGAAGTTCTAGGAGGGCTCTTTAAGCCAGCAAGCCAGGTAACAAATCTGTTTTTAACAGCTCAGTGACAGGCCGCGTATTGTTCTCTTGGGATGAAACACGGCAAATGACGGAAAACAAGCAGTAGTAAAAGCAGGTTTTTCTCAATTCACTAGTTCCTAGCTCTGTAACCCGATACAAATCTGATCCCTCATGGTCACTCAATTAGTCAAAAGATGAGAAACGATTCTGGCATGTGTATGAAATGCTTACGTAAGTTGAACAGCTGGGAAAGATAATGACTTTTGCTGAAATAAGAATGCTCCTTCTCCCAATTAGGTCTCCGTTGATAACTACACCCTTAGGGGATGTAGCAACTGCTGGAAAAAATTGAATGTGAGACATTTCAATCGTCAGGTAATTGAAAAAAGAGCAATTATCAGGAACTGGAAATAAACAGTCCTTTGTACTCAGATTTTCTATTCCGATGTGGAGGGGAAGTCTGGATGAAAGTTTGTGGAATAATAGTAAAAACTTGAACCAGATCTTCCCTATTCTCAACAAAACCCTCAAAAAGATTTTTCAAATACACTCAATGTTTTTCAGACTGGGAACACTACAGAGTTGATGAGAAAAATCTGAATAGAGAAATAATTCTTAGAATATGGCAACTCTTTTATACTTAAAGGCAATATTATTAAGGGTGGTTTTGGTTTTATTCAAATTTCTGAGATCCTTGTGTTGTCAAAAATGTGAATTTAGTGGAAGATTAGTAGTTGACTGCCTGATCTGACATCTGCTAAAGTCAGCAACAGCTTTTTCATGTTTTTCAGTATATTCTGGAACAGGCCCTTAAAAAGAACACAGAAATTAGCTATGACACATTAGGGCTTTTTCAACAAAAGAAGAGAGTGAAAAATGTTACAAAACTAAATGTTTATAGAAATTATTATTTTCTTCCATTTAAATTAAGAGGATTATATCTGGATTTCAACATTCCCTGTGCAGTTTGTCATCCAAATACAATAAATGGCTTAGTGCATGTGAGCCAAAAAATAAACTAATTTATCTTTTATTGTCCAAAATGAAGTAAACACAAATTGTAAACAGCATGAAAGCTAAAAGAGAGCTAAAGGCTCCAAAATTTTCAGTTTTAGTACAGTTCAAAATTGCAGGCAATACAAGTAAAAATACTAATTATAAATGCAAATTATTTAAAACACAACTGTGAACTTTAAATCCCTCCAGGTACAATTAAAATATTCTATAGTTTAAATTAAAATAACTTCAATTAATAATCCCCAAACCACAAGAACTCTTGGTCAATGTGTATTTGGTTTCTATAAAGGCCCTCACAAGATCTTGGAACTGGGATGCACTAGTGGCTGAATGACAGCAAATTAGTGTCCATTTACTGACATATTTTGAATGTAAACCCAACATAATGCCAAGAAAACAAGAAACTGAGTTACTTCTAGTTGTAAGAGAAAAAAGGGCTTTTCCT